GAAAAGTTATAATCTATAAATAACACTATGTACAATTTCAATTACATTTATGCAGTAGTATCTTTGGGACTTTATTACTTCTTGAGCACAATTTATAATAATCAAAATTTAGCAGTAGCAAACAATAAGAGCTCTAAAGCAAAGTTATGCAGGAAGAAAGTCCAAAGTCAGTGGATGACAGAATACTTGAAACTTTTCTCATACACTTCTCTGTTAAAAAAATAAGTAATATCCAAAAGCTACCATCATCTCTGCCATCATGATCTGGCTGTTACGTGACAAGAGATTTGAGGCATTCTGTGGAGACAGTGTTAAGCATCAGTGAACACTATAACCCAAAGGTCATACTTAGTAACCTAGTACATTTCTTGCTGCTGATAGCATAGTGTGAGTGACTTCAGTGTATGAAACACTCCCTCCTGAGATGTATGATATTCCATTTCACCCAAATAATCCTGAGAATAAACACAAGTTTAAATATATTAAAAATAAAGTCAGTAAAAATGCAGATATTACATAGGCCAAGGCATAGAAATATAGTTTGCAATGCTGCATTCATGAATGTTGGCCATTCAAGATTCACGGTACATCTGTACTTAAAGTTATACCAGTGGAGCTGTCTGCTGTGAGCACAGGGGTAAAACATCTCTCAAAACAGTGTAGCTGCTATGCTTTAGGGAATGAACTCTAGTGAAGGAAGAAAAGCAAGGAATAAGGAGGCCTCAGGAAGGGATCAAGGATTATCTGAATATCACCTGCAGATTGGAGACAATGATGACTTTCAGACACCCCCTAAAACTCAAAGCAAAGTCTTTCAAATGCAAGTAAAAAACCTCTGTTATTAGGTGGAAGAAATGAAGACGACTAAATAGACTTATCTAAATTAGGTTTTCTCATCAATGCCAAAAGGATTGGCTCTTCTCAGAAACCTGTGCCAAGCAGGAAACATCATATTCAGTGGAGCTTGGTGTCCCCCATGGCTGTGGGTACCTAATGTAGCATGGGCAGCTGCTGCCTTAAATAGGTATTAATTGCTTCGCTCTTGCTGAAAAGCTGAAGTGGGAAGCTGTGGAAATAAAGCTTTGAGAATTCTGCAAAATAGTGTTTATATAGCAACCAATCCAGGGTAGGAAAACAATTTTGCTAAGTACTTCTTTTATTTCTGGAAGCCTTTTTAGTTAAAATCCCCAAACTGAGTAGGCAACAACTTCTTCTGCTGTCCACAAGGCTTTTGTGAGCTTTTGCATTGCTTTCTAAGAAATATTTTTCTTTTTATTTTCTTGCTATGGGGAAAACAAACAAACCCACCAAAAGAACACCCAAACCCAAACCCAAACCCAAACTTCAACCAAAAAAGAAAGCAAGCCCCAAGCCAACCAACCAATCAAAACCCAAGCAAACAAACAAAACCCCCACCCATCTGAAGCAAGCTACTTTGCATCCTGGCTCACAGAAATGGTCGATAGTCCTGACAATTAGCAATGTGTCATTAGAGCGTGGATTAGATAGGATTTTAATTGGGAAGCTCCTGCCCCCTTGTGTCAAGAACTTTCACTTTTCTTGAATTAAAAGAATTAAACTGGATACCTTATATCTTTGTAGAACAAATGTATGGCTAAACAAACAGAAAGGAGGGAGACCAAATGATTTGTTTGGTTTGCTTCACTATTTGGGCATTATAACTTGTAAATAGTACTCGTATTTTAAAATAAGCGTAATTTAAATGAATAGGTAAGCTTGTTGCAACCTTCCTTTCTGCAGCTGCTTCCTCCCTCTTTCTTACCAGCCATTACAGAAACTAATTCTGTTGAAGTAAAGTATTGAGCCAGAAGAACGGACAACTTTGGTATTTGTATAAAAACAGTTGACAAGAGTCATTGATGGTGTCACTGTAGTACTCATTTGTGCTCCTACTGAAGGATATCTGTTCTCATTAGGGCACTATTTGCTTTCAACTGTAGGAAACATTCAGCTATAGCTTCCTTCTCAGTGACTACAATGCTTTTGTGACACCTTGATGTGCTTTGTGAAGCCTTTTCTCTGTTTAGAGCATGGGAAAATAAAAACAGCCTCTGTGAAGACTAATGTATCTTTGTACTCCTATTTCATTAGGATTTGGTAATTGGTGTCAACTGATGTGGTTGTGTGTACATATCCTGAGAACATATGGCATCATCTGAACTGTTTTCACGGATTCTGGTCAAATAAGGGTTGTGAACCTGGCAGCTTCAGCCACCCAGAAGACATGTGAAAAAGAAGGTTTTGCTGATTTGGTGTGTGATCTCTTTGATTTTCCAAGCTTAGATTATTTTTTCTCACAAAGACTTATCTGAGAAATATTTTGCAACCACGCGGGTTTAAACAGATAAAAACAACAAACCTCCCATATCCACCACCTCCAAGTGTGAACTCACTCCATTTTAGGACCTAAAACTAATACTGAGATAAGTAGAAGAAACACGTAAAATTTAATTTGCAATAGTTAAAGCTGCCTGTATTGCTTTATATTTTTCTGCAAACAGAAATCTCGATACATGGGATTTTCTCTTCCTAACATGTAAGAGTTTCTAATTAAAGCACTGATAGCTGAACCCAAGAAACGACAAACTGACAGCCGCGGTGACTGCAGTTTTTACGTGGAAGATAGCAAGTTTGCAGCATTTATAATACTGTGCCAATGTGGTTTGTCCCTAAGCCATTTCACTCTATGTGGTTTTAAAGCTGATTTTCACGCAAAACACACAAAACTACATCTATGCCAAATGCTGGAGCGCTAGTAGGTAGGGTAAATGAGGTGTGTAGTAGGTAGAGGTATATATGAAATAGAGGTATATATGAAGGGTATATAAGGTAAAGTGTATTTGTTTCACCATGAATTTAAGGGGAAACCAAATTGCAGTTAAAAAAGGCTGCCACAGTAAGCATCTGCATTTACAAAGCCCTACTTTTCCAGCTGTAAAATTCACAATGTAGTCTTGGCTGGTAGTAAAAACACTAGAGCTTTGAATGTGTAAGTATTGAAATCAGTGAAGCTGCTCTGTGGCTGAAACAAGCCTTCCTATTGGAAAAATATTACCAACATATAATGTTAGCCTTCTATGCTGTGACAGCAGTTGATGCTGCAGTTATGTTATAGCTTCTCAGCTTGCTCCAAAATACATCTGAGGTGAATATAGCACGATACAAAAGTAGGGATAGCTATTATCAGGGAGAGAACTGTGTAACATCATTTTGGACAATTAAGATAGCTCTTGGGATATTTATTTAGAGAACAGTCCTACCAGATGGACTCTGCAGGAAGGGCATACATCACAAATGACACATTATAAGAGTTATTATACACAAGCAGCTGCTAAGACTCATCCAGGGCTATTGGAATAAAAAGAAGAAACCTGACTGTGAACCAAAGGAGAAATTTGTCTTACAGCAGCTTTAAAAAATCAGTTTCATTCTGAATCTACAAAGAGGTGAGCTGTTAAAAATACAAACAGGAGCTTAGTGGCTTAGTAAAACCTGTTCTTGAGCAAGGATTTGATCGGCTCATTTTCCTGGAGGAATGTGGAAACACAGAGTTTTAGGTAGAAATGAGATCAGAGATAAAACTTGATTTTGCAAAGGAAAAAAATAAATAGGAAAAATAAAGTGCAAGTGATGATGGTTATGCAATGGTTACTTACTTTGGAGGAAGGGGATGAGAATTTGGAAAGCTGAAAATCAACAAGGATGCATGAGCTAGAACTAGACCACAAGTGGGAAAATTAATCTGAGCTATTATTTGATGTTTTAAATTAAATTTGGGAGATAGTTTCCTGTCATAGGTATAAATATGGACCTAGCTTGGATAAGCTTCAGATTAGGTATTTTCTAATTAGATTTTTCTAAAGAAAATACCTTCTCTTGATATTAAATTTGTGATACTATATTTGTATTATTTATGGTCCTTTAGTCACTTGATATTTGTAAGTGAAGGTTACTAACTTAGTGATGTGCAGCACAATTAGAAGTGATATGGGGTGTTCTGTTTAAGTTTTCCAGATAGTGGGAACTAGATGATTGACGACAAACTTATATTCCTTTTAAGATACAACTCATGCAATGCGCCTGTGGAGTTTTGGTTGTGAGGCTAGGTTATTTCTCCGCAATGGAATCATAAATAAAAGTATGATGCCCTTTTGATTTTCTGTAGATAAACAAACCTTATTTTTTATGAGACTGCAGGATCATGTTTATGTATGGATTTCTTTGTTTCCAAACACCAGCTCCCACAAAGTGTGTGAAAAATCCCAGAGGCATAAGTGTATTTGAAAGGGTCACCTGTATTTATTGAGCATCTTGTCCTTTACAAGTATCATACAATGGCAGTGTAAACCCTCATGAAAATCCACCAGATGTGGTAACAAGGAGTAGATATTTATTGGTTAAGGTGTGTTGATGTGGTAAAAATGAGGTCAGCAGTAAGATGCATACCTGTATCTGTGTCTGTAAGAGCAAATCTAAGAGACTCTTCTCAGAGCAGGTCAGCAAGAGAGTGAGAGGCAATCATCACAGATTGCAGTGAGGGAGATTCCAGTTGAATATAAGGGTAGTGGTTGGGGAAATCACAATGTCAGTAAGCAAGCAGTGGAACAGAGGCCTGGAGAGGTTAGTTAGTCTTTTTTCCTTGAAGACATCAAAACCTCCACTGAGCAAGAGCCTGAGCAACCTGATCTAACTTTGATGTTGCCTTAGCTGGGATTAGGTGGCTGGACTAGGTGACATCCCACCAGAAATGCATACCCACACCCCACACCCCCCCCCCCCCCGAAATTATTCTGTGATGAGTGGCACCTATTTCTAAACAGCATCCTCAGAGCAGTGTTTAACATATCATATGTCAGTGAGCGGATGCACTATGGATTGCACAAACAGCCTGCCTCAAGAGGGAGGAAGTGCTGGGTTTGAGTACATAAGTCTGTGGTTCCCTGTGTGGGCTGAGCCAAAACTTTGTCAGACTTTGTATCTCTGAAAGGGGCAGTCTCCAAATGCCTGTTGAGTGTAGAAGCCTGTGAGATGTGAACTAGAGAGCTAGAGGATGTTTCTTGGTTGCCACTCTGATGCAAGGAGGCCCTGGTGCCAATCTTAGCTGTTGCATCCGACGCAGTGGAATGTGGATTTTGACTGCAGCATTTTCCTAAGAAGGTAACCTGCTCCAAGGAGCCTTTAGATAAACAAGAAAAAGCTATAAATCTCATGTCAACTTCACTTTTCAACTCAGCAGTCATCATGGAAAAAGCCGTGTGCTGTGTGGGTTTTGTATTTTAAATGGTGTTTAAATAGGGGTGCCTAATATGCCGTGTTCTTAATTTTGTGTAGTCTGCAATATTCCAGTTTTCAAGAACTGATTTCTGAATGATGATATACACTTAAGGGTCTTTTTTTACCTAAACACTTTTACCTGAGTTTCAAAGGCAAATGGGTCTAACTGTCAAACTGTAAAGAATATTTTGCATGAAACTTTGAAAGTACTTTTATATAACTAATCTATAGGGAACTCTTGTAGCTACCAGGAATAGAATTTTGTAAAAATCTGCCCCAAAATCACTATAGACTTCATATTGATGGAAAAATAGTAAATATTTGGACCAAAATTTATAATGTGCAGCAGTTTTTATACCATCAGAACAGTGTTATTTTGTTACTTTCTCATTAAGTATTTTGAACTGACAAATTATGTGGATTTCTGGAATAGTAGCTATACTGCACAATGCCACAATCTTACTGTTCCCTTTAGAGTGAGTTTATCAGGATCTGGCAGAGTTCTACAGGTACAGGTTGTACATCTAATCTATATTTTTGGTTTGAGGAATTTGAAACCAAAAATTGCCTGCAGAAACTAGTTTATGTTGCCAGCTTGCAAGAGTCCTGCTGCTTGGGTGATTTTTTGGCCTTTCTTTTTTGACATTTTGCATGCTGAGCAGCCATGACCAAATTTGGCATTTTCTAGATTGGAGACACAAGGATTTTTTTCACTGTGGTAACAAAGCCTATGGTAAGAAGGGAAGTTGTATTTCTGCTTCCACTTTTGAAAGAAATCTCTACAGTTGCATGAAGTAGAAAAATCCCCGACTTCTGGTTGATGTCTGTCCTTTACAGTTCTGTAGAAGTGCTGTTTCACTGAAGTTTTGGGATCTCACAGTGTACGTATATTTCTGATGTATATTTATAGAAGAAAAACTTATTCTCTAAGACTGCACTCCTACCTGAAGAAGGATTTCAAGGATCACTGTGTTTCCAGGAATTGCTGTTCCTTGGAATCTTTCATTGCAATTGCATGCCATGACCAGAAGAAAACAAAGTGCTCTCTTTTAGATTGGAAGAACATGGGCAGCACAAAGAAGGAAAAGGGAAAAAAAAAAAAAAAAAGAAAAGGGCAGGCTATGGTGTGTTTTGAAAATAATCTCTTTTTAGAACTGCTCATGACCATCTCTACTGAGCATTCTTACTTGAGTATGCTGCTTAACACAGCTCTGAGGGAGAGGCAGGTAAACTTCTCTGTGGCACAAGTAGTTAAGTTGGCCTTCTTTTGCTGAAGTGAAGTTTGTTGCCTCCTTTAAGAGCAACTTCCTGTAAGAGCAGTATTTCCACAGGCTGCATGCATTTTGGTAAAACGTGGCTGTTAATGCTCAGAATCAAGACATTTCCAGAATAATAAAAGTATTTTGAAACTGGGCAAAACCCTGCCAAAATGAATGAGTCTGTCAGGGGTAGGTGTTGGAGGGGGCACAGCTTGCACTGATCCTGGCATGCAGAAGAGCACATGTTAAACAAGGGACAGGACCTTGGGGCAGGGGGCTCAAATGGGGTGGCTGGGAGGAAAAGCATTCCTTTCATATAATCTGCTGTCTACAGCTTTGAAACCTGTTGTAGTCCATAGAGTAGAGAGTATATTTGCAGAGGGGAACCCTGAGTAGTTGTTTGCTGAAGTCCATTTGTGCTATTCAATGGTTTCTTGTTTGTGTTCCAGGTAAGCCATATCACCAGATCTGAGAAAGGGGATACTGCACACTAGCAAAGAAGCCAGCGGACTCCCTGTATCAAACACTCCTGGCCAGCCCTTCCACTGAGGTCAGCACTCTTAAGCTTGACATGGTTTTGTCTGATAAAAAATGATCTGCTACAGTGCTATAGAAGTAGCTGTCAGGCTGTTCTGGTTTGTTCTGCTTTTGCGAGATTGTGACATCAAGTGTATCTATCTCGAAGTTAAAAGACTTTTGATAAGTTTTCTAAGAAAATAGTCATCATTAGCAATACACAAAAAAGTGTAGCATTAGCAGATATTCTGTTTACTTCAAAATAACCAGATTCAGCAATTTGAATTTCTCAGAAAGTAAAAAAACGTGGACAGGAAAAAATCATGGTGAAGTAAAGGATAAGAACCAACAGGAAAAAAAAATCAGTAGTTGTTCTTTTCTTAATGGAAGTCCTGAGAAACATAATTTTTATGTGTTATAATAACATTTGTTATGGAATTGTTTTAGAGGAGAAACAATACATCTGCTATACAAAGAAGGTACAAAGAAGTCTTCCTGACTGAGGTTATCCTGCATCTGAAAAACTTGCAGTCTACATGCATGGTGGATAGTATATGGAATATCCAACGGGGCATCGAAACTCAAGGCTGAAAACTAAGAGTGACTTTATATAAAAGTACTGTAATTGCCTTTACTGAGTTCCCCTTTCCCAGGAAGTTTGAGACAAGCCATCCTACTTGTTGCTGTCTCTTTCCTAATCCTAAAATGTCTTCCCACCCTTACCGTGTTTATTCCTTTTTATTCCTGTTTAAAGCTATAAATTTAACAGGAGGTTTCTAAGCAGAGGAACATAAACCTGGCATGATTCAGGGCTGGTGATGGTGGAAGAAATTTAAAGCAAGATATGAGACAGATTTGAAAGACTATTTCATTGACAAGGTGACTTTCAAAGGGGTCAGTACCTTTTCTGAAAAACATACTTCATAGTATGATGCATGTGTTCTGCTCCTAAAATATACTTAATATTTATGTGTTACTAACTATGCTTATTACTTAAGGACTAGGTCAGCAAGGAAAAATTTACTTAGGGTCTTGGTCACCTTGTGTTGTCTATGCTATGGCAACTAAGCTATGATGTGTAGTAGTTAATTCAGAGCTACGCTAGGAATATCTGCATGAGATCTCAGCATAACTGGACTGTGTGAGGGAGTGAACCTTCTTAGTTTTTCAGGGTATGTTGCTAACATGAGCTGTAAGCTCTGATTTATTGCACCTTATGTGTTTGATTTGGCACAATAATTCAACAAATTTGAGTATGCCATGAAGTGTTTTAATAAAGAATAAGAAGGAAGATAAGGACTTCAACTGAGATGAAAGGAATGACATTCCTAACTGAGATTTGCTGCACTTGAATAATAGCAGTTTACTGAACCTTCTGCACTGAGGTCTGGCCTGCCTGCTGGAAAGGAGAAGAGGGGCCAGGAAGCTTGCCCATACTTCCGAAGATGGTAAATGACAGAAGCACGCAGAAAAACTTTTTTTTTACTGTAAAAGTTTCCATTAAAATGCATCTATTTTAAAACGGCAAACTGTTGCATCCTTATATGGCACACATGACCACCCTGTTTCATTATAGCTCTGTCCTTCCTGATGTGGGAACACTCAATGTAGTATACACAGCATTTATGTTTTATTGGTAGAAACTCCCTGCTGTTAAGATCTTGAAGAACATAAACCAATGGTAGAAGCTAGCTAGTGTGAATTAAAGCTTTCTTTCTGTAGTATGTGTCTGCAAAGACTCACTCTGTGCCCATTTAGCTTTCCAGGGACTATCATTTTTTATTTTGGGCTGTGGGCTGATGGCTTTTCTAAGCTTGATGCCCTAAAATTGCAGTGCCTATCCTGTGTGCAGGGGTATGATGGGGATGAAAAGCAGTTGTGCTCTCAGTGAGAGAGGCGAAGGTAGATATGTAAAGGATATTTTGGCTCTGAAGTGTAATGTGAACAAAATGGTTGACTTCACTCTTCATCTCTTCCACGCTGTGTGTCTGAATGTTGCAAGCCTGTGTTGTCTAGCTGGAACAGAGCTGAAAGGAGGAAATGGGACTAATGGTGCACTTTGCTTTATGTACCCCAAGGCAGGGAGAGAGGAGTTTCACAAGAGAAATAACAGGGCTCTTGGGCCTGGTTTACTTTATATTCCCACTGCATAGTGTCTTCCAGTTCTCTGCATGAGGTTAATTGAAATAAATCAACAGTAAGCAAACTGCTGCAGATTTAAATGCATGTAGATTCCAATAGGATTCTGATTATCTTTTCCTTTTGGAATGTGCCCTCTTGCATAAATGAATTTTATTGAGAACAAGTAACAGAAGGAAATAAAATACCAGGTCATGGTAGCACACAGGGCTCATATTTCGAGCATGGATTTTGCTGTACTTAGTTATAATGTTTAAGCCAACATATCTGTGACCTGCCTCATCTTCTTCCCCAAATACATAATCTATAAATACTCAATTCCTTTGAGTTAAAGTAATAGCAGAGGTCAACTTGTTCAGCATTGACACATCTCTGTTGTTTCCAGTGATCATTCAAGTATTTTTCTGTTAAAGGTAGCATTACAAACAAACTGATAAAAAATGACCCTGTGAATAACTTTTTCCCTGTCTACAAGTATAAAGCTGTGGCAATGGATAGAAGCAGAAAAATTTCCCTGCCAATCAGTCAATGTGGGAAGAACACAAAAGGTTCTCTTGATTATTGCGCAGATATGAGAGGAACAAGAAATTCTGTCAGCTATGGTACAAATCCTATGCAAATTAGTACCACAAGGGAGTCAGCTGTGCTCTGGTGAAGGACAATCTGAGAGTTATCATCCCAGTCTTGGGAAGTCTTGTCCTTATTCCAAGCCCAGGGGAAGTGGGTGCACCTGGAGGAAACCCTTCCCATGAGAAAACACAGATGCATAGACTTACGATGTAAATTGATTCCCAAGGGAATTGTCCTAAGGGCTGAGCCAAAAATCCTTAAGTTTCATACACGTGAGAAGAAACTTTCGGTCAGTCATTTCTGTTATGCTTATTCATGAATGAGGACACAGACTGTCAACCATCCTTGAAGGACAAATCTATTTCTAGAGTACTTTATGTAGGATTAGATCTCTGTACTTCACAAATACTCTCTATGCTATTCCTTACATTATGTTTTCCTTGTAAGAAACATTAAGGGGTGAGGCTTATTAATTTTCCTTTGGTAGTGTCACAGTTCCCCTGGTATCATATTTATATTGGATCTTCATTTGTGCCTGCATACTACTGTGTTTGTGCAGCTCTCCTAGAGCTTCTTTCTGAGACCATTTCAGGGATGATTTTAAATCTGCTTCTCCATCTACGCTGCCTTTTGTATAAGCTTGTGTGTTCCCACTGTTCAAAATTACTTCCTGCCAGATGGTCCCACGATTTAATGCATTCCCAAGTCTTGCGAAACAGAAAAGGCCTGAGCCAGTTTCTCAAAATATAGTCCTTAGGAATTTTTGTCCAAGTTAAAGGATTTCATTAGAATAGTAGTTTGCACCTTTCTAAACCCAAGCTGGGAGGTAATTTCTTAATGAAAAAAACAAACCAAAATGAAACAAAAACTCAAAAAAAAAACAACCCCACCCAACTTTTACTGTATTTTGGTTTAGAGATAAAATGCATGCAAAATGGATTAGTTTTTATTTTAAAACATCTTAATTGAACAGCTTAATTAAACTCATACTGGCATATTAAATAGTCCTTTACAAACTCATTTACATTTTATCAGGCATCTGTAGGGCAAATAAGCCTCTTTTCCTTTGATTTACACCCTGCATATTGCAGGTGATAGGAAAATGATTTAATATATAGGCTGGAAATATGAGAATTTTAATAATATGGTTTTCACTTTGTTGCTTTCCAATATCCTGATTACAGGCCTACTCTTATTTCAGCTTTGGTTATTCTAATAAAAATATTCTTGTAAGGGGCAGAAATAAATGTTTTTAGAACAGGATGCCATCAATAGGCAATCTGCTCAGCATGACTTGAATTTGCTTCCAATACCACCATTACTCATGGATCTCCCCTGAGGTATCTCTGGCTTCATAAATGAATATGTGGCTTTATATAAGGAAATCATTTCCTGGGTTTATGTCTACCTCCTGTTGTTTTAGAAAATCAGCTTAAAGACAAGAGAAGGCAAGTGTGCAGGCAAGGTGAATTGCCTTGTAATTTTACAACATTTTGGCATTTGTTATTTGTTTTTACCTCTGAAGAGAATGATTACATAAACCCAACTTCCTTTATTAGTAAAAGCAAACTTTTGTGTTGCCAGAAGAAAGTTTACATTTATAAACCTTACTGACTGATTTGACAAAAGAGCAGGGACTACTTGCCTTACTCCCGAAGTCTGTTGTGCCCATTTCCTCGTGGAAATAAAGTGACCCTTTCAAGTCTGGAGCACACTCTCCTTTCTAAGGTATGAAAAAGTGTTGGATTTCAACAGCTTTCCTTTGAAAATACTCTGACATGCAGTGTGTTTTAACAATACAATTTACTCAGAAGCAGCTGATTTTTGGAATTTCTCAAAAAATGGTTTCAGTGTTCATTTCAGTGTGAGGTTTCTCAAATAATGAGAATAAAATGGCTAATGAGAAAACTATCCCGTTATCCTGTTTTGGGAGCTGCTTTTTTGGAGGTGTGAATCCATGGTCTTCCTGGCTCACCCTGCCAGGTCTGACGGAGGAATTCGTTCCCTTCAGCAGTCAGCTGGTGGCAGCAGCAGAATTTAAAGGGCGTTCACATGTGCAAAATCACAATAGCCAGCGACCTTAAAATCTTTGGGAAAAGATAGCTGGTTTATGGTTTCTGCTGCTATCTTCCCTTCTGTGTACTATTCTCCTTTTGTCTTTCTTTCCTCCTGCCAAATTCACCTGAGCCTTACCAAAAGGAGAGGCATTAAGCCTACAGCCTCCACAGACTGGAAATTTTGCTGTTTCATTTTCCTTAGAGAATAATGGTGGTATCTCTTTGCTTTAGCAAACTGGAAAATGGAAATGAAGAGAAATACAACAAAGCTGCTGTGGCTCTTGATGTTCTCTGATATTGTGCTATTCAGCTATGAGAAATCACTGCGAGAGAGAGCTATCGAGCTGATGCAAGATGCGCGTTTGATCGATGGGTATATAAAATACGTTCAATTAAACCCTCTGTGAATCTGACAAATGAGAAGGGAATGCTAACGTGTGTTTGCAACAGTAGAGACATAGGCTGTTACTAGCACCTATATAGCAGTCAGTTACTGTTGCAGTGATTTATCAGGAAGGAATATTGGTTCAGATGGTACTTACTTACAGGATCTGGTTGTGCTAAATGCATTTGTGAAGTTCTGTTCGGGTGTTCTGGTTTAGCCCCAGCCAGCAATTTAGCCCTCCACAGCGTCTTGCTCACTCCCCCCTGGTGGGATGGGGGAGAGAATCAGAAGGGTGTAGGTTGTGATAAAAACAGTTTCATAGGTAAAGCAAAAGCCATATGCACAAACAAAGTGAAAAAAAGGAATTCATTCACCATTTGCCATGGTCAGGCAGGTGTTCAGCCATCTCCAGGAAAGAAGGGCTCCATCACACAGAACAGTTACTTGGGAAGAAAAGTGCCATCATGGAACCCCTTCCTCCTCCTTTCCCAGATTTGTAAGCTGAACATGACATCATATGGTAGGAATATCCCTCGGGTCAGCTGAGGTCAGCTGTCCTGGCTGGGTTCCCCTCCATGTTCTTTTGCACCCCCAGCCTAATCTCTGGTGGAGTAGGGTAAGGAGCAGAAAAGGCATTGACTCTGTGTAAACACTGCTCAGCAATTACAAAACATGCCTCAGTTATCAGTGTTATTTGTGTTTTCAGCAGAAATAAAAAATATAGCCCCATACCAATCACTATGAAGAAAATTAGCTCTATCCTAGAACATGGTGTTTCACCACTTAGTTATTATTTCCCTTTAATGTAATGTCCTTGTCTCCTTCCCATAATTTAATGGCATCTTTCAGTAGCAACCATTTCTGTACAAAGCTAGAAAGCAGGCATTGTACTTTAAGAGGGTACTCTTAAAACCTGAAAGAGTGATGTCTGTGGTAAGTGTATTTTGACCTGGGAACACAAATGCTCATTCTTCTGACAAAGGCAGCGCTGATTATTCTGCCACAAGTACTTATTTCCAAGAAGCAGGGTGGCTGATTTAAGTACTTCCACTCCTTCAGCAATGGTAGGGAGAAAAGTAGACACAGAAACACAATAGCTATGAAAATGGAAGAAACAAAATAAAATTACTTGCTGTCCTAATTAAGAAATGAAGCTTGTTTGCAAAAGAAAGGGGACTTTTAAGCATATATTACTGCAAGGATTATTGCAAATGAGTGGTCTGAGGGACTATGAACAATGGAAGAAATTACATTTGTGTTAGAAAGGGGAACAACTTATTTCTGTCGCAAGCCCTGTTTGTTTTCAATTCTAGCCACAATGACTTGGTACTGCGGCTGAGAATATTTTACCAAAATAGACTCAGTACAGTCAACCTAAGAGAACTCAACAAGACCCACACAAACCTTGTGAAACTTCAGGCTGGTTTTGTGGGAGCTCAGGTATGTACTGCCATGGTTGTGAATCTGAGAACATATTTATACATTTGCCTCCTTCTCAATCACAAACATACTCTGGGCTTTCGTTTTTACCTGTTTCTATTGAAAAAGAGAAAATTATGAAAATGAAAAGCCACAAACACTTCTCCATGATATCTGTGTTTCAGAAGTTTTATCTTTGATAATCTAGGTACCCTTACCCAAAACAGTGGTCTTTGTTTAGTGATAAGCAAATTAAACTTGTATCCACTTTTGTGTGTGTACTGTGGAGCAGCTGAGTGTGCCAGGAGGCTTTAATCATGTCTGGAGCAGATTCTCTTGCCCTATATCCTAACTCTTCTTTTGGGGGAAAAATTGCAGTGGCAACTCCCTTGTAAACTGCAGGAAATTATTCTGGTCTGTGCTCATGAGCTTCACTATTAGCAATTGAAATTTTTCAAGTTGAAACACAAGCTATTTTGTTTACTTTTCAATGTCTCTTTCAGTTTTGGTCAGTGTATGTTCTTTGCAGCGCTCAGAACAAGGATGCTGTGCGTCTGACCTTAGAGCAAATTGATGTTGTCAAGAGGATGTGTAACAGCTACCAAGAGCTTGAACTTGTGACGACTTCCCAAGGTTACACTCTTTCTTATACCAGAAATGTGTTAAATGGGGTTGTAGGAGTTATGTGCAAAACACACAGCTGCAAGCAGACAAGTTATCCTGCATTAAAGAGTAACTTTACTTTTGTTTTTTCCCACTGAACCACAATAACTGACTGTGCACAGCTGTAGCCCACTGCAGTCGTAAGAAAATTTGCCATACAAACATGCAGTAATATAAGCTCCTGTTCTATGCAATGTTGATATTAGTGCTTGCAATTTACAATAACAACTGTCACTTTGAGCTGCTTGTTTTTTATCTGCTATGAAATTACTTTCAAATTATCTTCTTTTGTTGTTTCCAGGTATCTCTGACAGTAGAAGGATTGCGTGTTTGATTGGAATAGAAGGTGGTCACTCCATTGACAGCAGTTTGGCAACACTGAGGATGTATTATGACCTTGGTGTTCGTTACATGTCTTTAACACATTCCTGCAATACACCTTGGTAACTAATGACACATTTTTGTGTGCACATCTAATGCAAAGTGGTGACATTTTCCAAGGTGGGGAAAAGATGTATACAGACACAGAGTTCACCTGTGAAAGACTCTGAACCAAATCAAGGATGATAGGGCTTGGGGTAAATCACTTGCCATTCGTCAAGTGGGAGACCAAATGATCTGTTATGTAGTGCTTGTTATGCTGATAATTTGGGAACTTTTAACCCTTGTTAACGGCACAAAGATGGTGAATGTGCTGTCTCCTTTGCTTTATTAGGAAAGCTACACAGGGGAAAAAAAAGGAAAAAAATGTACTAAAGTTGCATAAGATATATGTAAGAGGGAAATGCTATGTAGGTCAGCAGCAGTCAGCAGCCTTCAACACTGTCCTCTCTGGCCAGCTCAAAAGTGCAGGTCCCATGTGCAGCATCAGAGATGAGTACTTAGTTCTGTATCAGAATATTAGCACCTACTCCTTGCTGGATTGGCAAAATTTCTTCTTGTACTGACTCAGGGAAAGGAGAATTATGTGCAGAGAGGGCTGAAAAGCAGGCTTTCTGGCTGGCAGGTCAGTGACACTTCAGTTTATCTTTGCCCCCTGATGCGTGTTTAATCAGAAAAATTCTTACAAGCATCTCTTTGCTTGTCTTGCATTGCTTCACAATCATGCAACAGTTCTGAACATAAAGTCATAATGTCCAGAAAACAAAACCAGTTGTGAATGAGATAGTTATTATGTAGCTCATTTTCCCTACATTTGGCTGTGGGACATGGTAATGATTTTTATTTTGTGTAGCATAAGAACTTTCAGTTGCTGATACTGAGGTCTCCAGAATAATATGATATTTCTCCTTCTTCACCCCCCCCCCTTCCAAGGTCTGAATCATCATCTAAAGGAATGCACAACTTTTACCCCAATGTTAACGGTCTGACTGCATTTGGCCAAGTAAGGATCTCTTTCAAAAATGTTAATCTAAGCAATCTCTCATGCAGCTATGAACTTCTGGCCTTATTTTTCCTAAAGTGACTTATTAAAAATTAATTACTGGAAGTTTTTGATAGTTAGGAGTTGCTCAAGTTCAGTCAAACCAAATTCCCTGAATGTTCTTTAAGGTAAAATAAGTGGTATATTTAATTTTAACAAATTTTTTAATACAGATCAGATATATGAATATGTGGAAGTACTGGGATATGAATAACAGTTGAAATGACTTACAGATTGACTGAGTTTTCTAAATTTTGGGCGCTTGGTTGTGTGCTAGTTAACTGTGAGTGAATAAACTACTGTTCAATTCATAGGTAAACAGAAAACCATACAGGCACAGAGTATTTATGACTAGCTGACAGCTCCAGAATTTATTTATCTGTTTATATATATCAGCTAAACTGTTTCCTTTAAGGAAATTTAATACTGGCACTTGTCTGTTTTAGGAAGTGGTAAAGGAGATGAATCGTCTGGGTATGCTGGTAGATTTATCTCATACTTCAGATATGACAGCTAAAGCTGCATTGAGTATCTCAAAAGCACCAGTAATTTTTAGCCATTCCTCAGCGTTTTCTGTTTGTAATCACTCAAGAAATGTTCCTGATGATATCCTCCAGAAAGTGGTGAGCAGTATGGTGGGGGTTTTTTGGTTGGTTGGGTTGGGTTTGTGTGTGTATGTGTGTAGTTTTTGTTTTGTTTTGGGAAGGTGTTTGGATTTATTGATTTGGGGATTTATTTATTTTGTTTGTTTTAGTGGTCTGAGGCAAACTTGCACATTCAAGTCATGGTGCTTACTTTTCACTCTCTTGTATCTGAATTGGATTTATAAGAAAATCCTGAAGCAGCGAGCTGCATGTTTGCTTCTTGAGACATTTTATTTGGGTTGTATATTTTCTTCGGCTACAAAAAATGAAGTGTTTACAAATAGTTTGAGTTCCTGGTTGAGTTTGTTTGACATGGACTGGACTTCTGCTCATTCAGACTACATGTGAATATAATAAATCCACGGTAAAGGACAGAGAAGCAAAGCTTTGTGTTGCCATCTGAGCTTTGATTTTTACAGAGTGTTATTACGCTTACTGATGGATGGATGGATGGATGGATGGATGGATGGATGGATAGGTGAAGTCTCTACATGAGATGTCCATGAGGTTTGCAGGAAAGACAAGTTTCCATTCACTACCTGTCTCTGCATATCTTTCAGAAAAAGAACAAGGGAATTATCATGGTGACTTTCAATGCAGATGTACTGGCCTGTGGCAGAAAAGTTGTTAATGTTTCTACCCTTGCAGGTTTGAAATTAATATACTGACGTTTTTGTGGGTGGCTTCTATGAATTTCCTGGTGTCTGTGTCTTTTTTGAGACAGCGTAAATTTTAGTGTCTGTTTATTCCCTTCCACACCTTACCCCAGCTCTAGGTAATTTTGGAGCTAATAGTCATTAAACAATAACAAGAGGTACAAAGTGTGTAGCTGGAGGACATGATGCTCCCAAATGAAGCCAAGAACCATTAACCCCAAAGAAGCTGCTATCTGCTTAGGTCTTAAACCTTTGTAATTAGAGTGGAAAACATAGGTATGTAATGGGTAATGAAAAATCTGTTTGTATATGTGGGGTACTTGTTGGAAAACAATGTGCTGTGATGATCATGTCTTTTTCCTCATTTGTATCTATCTCATCAGTGTAGCTTTTATTTTTGATGATTGCTACTTGATGTCCTTAATAAGAGATAACATCTAGTTAAGCAATAGTAAAATACATCAACTGCATTATTAAATTTTAGTTTGGATGTCTTTTGGCTTTTTATTAACATGATTTGGTTAAGAACCCATGATTAAGGAGAAAAGTAATCTAGTACCAATATGTCTGAACTACTTCTTCTTGCTGGATGCTTAGATATTGTTGTCTTTGACATTTTGTTTCAGACCACTTTGACCACATAAAGAAAATTGCAGGTTCAGAATCGATAGGAATTGGTGGTGACTATGACGGAGTAGAACGGTTAGTAAAATTGCACATATATTGATATCTGCTCCTTAAATTAGGAACGTTTTAAATCCTTTTAGGGAAAAAAGGTACATTAAGAGATCATAGAATAGTTTGTGTTGGAAGAGACCTTAAAGCTCATCTAGGTCCAACCCCCTGCCACAGACAGGGACAGCGTGCTCAAAGCCCCATCCAACCTGGCCTTGAAGAGTTACAGCAAGTTGTCTTGTGAGGAGCACTAAACCAATTTTTATGAAAACAAGGCACAACTGAGTTGTAGAACTATATGAAGCAGTGCTACAAATGCGGAAACAGATTCTAATACTCTCTGGACTCTGCAATTGTGAGTTCTAGGCAGTGGTTTACACAGACGAAAACATCAAGAGAGTGATTTCCTCTGGGAAGCCAAAGATTAGTAACAGAATGCCTCAGGCTTTACATGGTTGATAGGTTAGCCTAAGGAGATAATGCACCACTCTTCCCTCCGCTATTACTTTCTAGTGGGGAAAGCCCAACATGTGAATTGATTCCTGCTTTTGAGGCTTGAAAAGTGTTTGAGACAAGTGTTTGAGACAAGCAGATCACAGTGGACAGCTTACAACATAACCTCTCCTTCTCACTCCTGAGCTAGTGTTGTTTCAGCACAGGAAATAAATGCAGATTAGGTAGCATTTGCTGGCCTATTTTTATGTTTTATCTTTCTGTTGAATCTTTTTTTCCCCTGCCCCCTCCCTGGGGTCAGAAACACTTTGGTATGAAAGTCACAATCAGACTCACATCTGTAAAGCAGGATCACAAAAACTGTGTCAGCTCACATGAGTCTTAGCTAATAATAACTCTGAAACGATAACCTCCAAAATAAAGCCACAGTTTGCAATGAAAAGACACATTTTATTGCATGCATTTTTGCAGAGACAGACCATCAGTTTGATTGGTCCTAAGTCCTGGTAGAAAGTAAGGGCATGGATTTCTTGAGATACGCTTATCAACACATCTCCACAGAAAAGAAAAAGAACAGAAAATGTTAGTTATCCCAAAACAAAGTCAAAGATTCATGGAAATACAATTTAAAAACATCTATTTAATGCAGGTTTTGCATCTTCTAATTCCTTTTTTTTTTTTTTTTATAAGAATTAGCACAAGACACAGGTCAATTTTGCTTACTGTAATTTCTTCAGTAGAGAATTCTGAACAGCTTTTGTTTCACTGCCTAAATTGCTGAATTCAAAACAATGTTATTATTCTAATTATATGTTCTTTGGGAAAATGACTTTGTAAACAACAGAGTACATAGAATTGCCTGCAACTCCTTAGTTCATCATGTGTTAGGAGGTTCTCTCTTGTTCTCAGTTGCGCAAGTGGATTGTACCAACTCCATCTGTGATGCAGCTGTTTCTTCTTACTCTAAAGGCCAGATAAAGAGTGGGTTACTGCATACATGAATTTGGTTTTGTGTTTTGCACTTCCATCTTTTAATATGCTCCATACTATTGTTTTACCTGTACACAAGTGCATCTTAATTCCAGAATACTCAGTTGTGCTCTGTTTATGTGATCATCTGTGCAGAAAAAGCCTCTAATTTTGTCCCAGCCCTGATTCTGTTTGCCAGTTGAATTCTTAATTATTTTTTTAACTTCTCAGAGGAAGCGCTGGGTCTAAAGTGAGCTCACTCCAAATGCAAATATGTGCAAAAGACTAATTAAAAATATTTTTCTGCATGTTTTTCAATGCTATGTGCTGAATGTTCTTGTGTGACTCTTGCCAACAGTTTCCCCGAGGGATTGGAAGACGTTTCTAAATACCCTTCTTTGATTGAGGAACTTCTTAGAAGAGGATGGAACGAAACTGAACTGAAAGGGGTCTTAAGGGAGAACTTCCTCCGTGTCTTCAGAGAAGTGGAAAATGTAAGATTAAAACCAAAACTGAATCTTGATTCTTAATAAAAGGGAGAGAGAACTTTGCTGCTGGCTCCAACCCACCATGAGAGAGCTATGAGGGATTGTAAGCACTTAATGCAATAATTACAAATGCTGGGAAAGAACCCCAGATGGCAAGAGAGTGTTAGCAGAATAAGGGAAAGTGAGAGGGTGGACAAAGCTCTTTGGAACTTTTTCTCCGTGTGGTAATCTGATAAGTACACATCACTGACTTCTCAATAGAATCACTTCATGGTTTGGAGGAACTGTAGACGTACCAGCATCACAGTCTGGCTGTGTTTGCTGGTGCAGTAAGGAATGCTGTCTTCTGCAAATCAATTTAATTCCTGTCATGGGACCTTGCTGCTACCCAAAAGGCTTCTCCCATGACCAGATCACTAACAAGCATAAACATAACACTAAATTACGAACTTTATGTGTAAATGTTAAATGCTAATCCAGAAGGAAGAGGGAGGAGCAAAGGGAGAGACTGTACCAGAGTAAGGACCCCCTAAATGTTAACTGTTTCAAAAGCATCTGCTGAAACTCACAAACTGCTTGTCTCATGCTGTTTTTATTTATGAGGATAAGTAAGTAGATATTATACACAAAACCTTATAGACAACATATATTTCACAGTGATACTTGTTCCAGTGAAAAAATGCCTTGGGGGCATGTTAGATGAACAGAAATCAGGGAATTCTGTACTGTTCCAGTTAATGTACCTGATGCCGAGTTGCACGTGTGGCAGACTGACGTTATGAGGAGGTTGGAACTCATCACACCTAGCCAATCTGTGAGATTAAGTAATTTTTTTTCCTTCTAAATTAGAGATGTTTGGAGCTCTGTCTTGAGACTGTGCGCTGACTTCAGGGAAGAAAAATGATGAGTTTGTTTGCTTAAGGTTTTCCAGCTAATGCATTCATATGTGGATGGAGCAAAGACAAAGAACAGCCACATCTGTGACTCTTGCCTGTAATATGTCTGTACTGAATTCTGGAAAGTGTTTCATAAGAATGCAAACATCAGAATAATTATCTTGATTTCCTCACATTCGTATGTGGTTTTGCAATACTGTTCAAGTTGATTCACTTGAAATAGCATTGAATTTGCTAGCTGCATAATGCTTTTTCCTATTGTGTCTGTCTGGCTTTCAGGGGCAATCTTTTGAATTTTTCTAGGTGCGGAACCTTAGCAGACTAATGGATGTAGGTGAAAGTGAAACTCCACAAGAAGTACAAAACTCCTGTCGCCTAGATCTACGTAATCATCAGCCTCAGAAACTGAGGTCTTTTGGATTTTCTTCTGTGGCACAACCTTTGAGTCTGACACTTGTAACTATATCACATTTAATACTGTATTATGAATTGTGAGCCTTATGGAGACTTGAGAGAGATATATGGAGTAATTTGAAATGCAACTAGTTATCATTTGGGGATTTTGTTAAGGTAAAGCTATGCTAAATATTTTAGATCATTTCTTTAAATTTGCCTGCATACTTGAAAGTTAATGTAGTTTTTAAATGCTGTCGCAAAAGTATTTGGATTTTAAAGTGATAAATTCTGTGTCATCCTGGCTAAACCAGTTCTAACATTGTTAATGGAAAGTATTCACATCTAATGAAGAAATACTCTCATACACACTGGATTCCAGAGTCAGCAGTTCCACACAAGAACTAGAGAGCATGATTGACAGCTGTGCTGAGATGTTTTCAGATATTGCTTATTAAATCATACAACTTTCATTATCAGTTAAAGGCTTAGTCAGAAAAGACCACCCTCTGGTATATGTAGAAGAGTGCGGGTTTTGGGAGGCAGGTTTTTTGTTGTTGTTGTTTTTGCTTGTTTGGGTGTTATTTGTTGTTGTTTTAGTTTGGTTTTGTTTTTTAAAATGACAAGATGGATAACATAGAATCATAGAATGATTTGGGTTGGAAAGCACCTTAAAATTATCTAGTTCCAGCCTCCCTGCCATGACACCTCACTCTAGACCGTGTTGTCCAAGGCTCTGTCCAGCCTGGCCTTGAACGCTGCCATGGATGGAGCATTTACCAGTTCTTTGGGCAACCTATTCCAGTGCCTCACCACTCTCACAGAAAAGAACTTCTTCCTTGCATCTAACCTAAACTTCCTCTGTTTAAGTTTGGACCTATTACCCCTTGTCCTATTGCTACAGTCCCTGATGAAGGGTCCCTCTCCAGCATCCCTACAGGCCCCCTTCAGATACTGGAAGGCTGCTAGGAGGTCTCCATGCAGCCTTCTCTTCTCCAGGCTGAACAGCCCCAACTTTCTCAGCCTATCTTCATACGGGAGGTGCTCCAGTCCCCTGATCATCCTTGTGGCCTCCTCTGGACTTGTTCCAACAGTTCCATGTCCTTTTTATGTTGAGGACACCAGAACTGCACGCAATACTCCAGGTGAGGTCTCACGAGAGCAGAGTAAAGCGGCAGGATCACCTCCTTTGACCTGCTGGTCATGCTCCTTTTGATGCAGCCCAGGATACGCTTGGCTTTCTGGGCTGCAAGCGCACACTGAAGCCAGCTCGTGTTCATTTTCTCATCGACCAGCACCCCCAAGTCCTTCTCCTCAGGGCTGCTCTGAATCTCTTCTCTGCTCAACCTGTAGCTGTACCTGGGATTGCTCCAACCCAGGTGTAGGACCTTGCACTTGGCATGGTTAAATTTCATGAGGTTGGCTTACTTCCTGTCAGTAGTTCAGCTAATAGGTTCATAAGTCATTGGAAAACTGCCATCTGTAGTCTCTTTTCACAGAATTAGCACTGAAATAGTAACTGGATAATACTTTGATATAACTAATTTCACCATACTACAGATATTTGTAGCTTATTTACTTATCTATATTTGTTTGACAGCTTTGCACAATGAATAATTTGTAACCTCACAGCAAAACATATACATGAAATTTAAATAAAATATTGTTTAAAATCGTGTATAGATACTGACATAATATCACAAAACAATGGCATGTTCAGAACTCCAGAAAAACCTGGAAGAACCATACAACTCTGCTGCAGAAAGAAGGGCAGCCTATCATAAGGGCTCTGGGTCAGCTTTTCACAGGGAGATAGCCTCCCCCGTAAGAGGCAGGATAAAGTCAGGTTAAGTTTAACCCTAGAACATCCTGGATGTAGGCAGTCAGCCTCATCTTCACTCAGATACCACCACCTAACCTGTAAAGGAGTCTCAGAAAGTGCCTGTGGAAGGGGGACATGGGTAACTCAGTCATTGCAGTGAGTTCATGATACCTGTGGTAAATCAGTTGCTCAAACTAGTCAAGTCATAGAGAACAAGTCTTATGGTTGCCTGCACCAAGCTGGGATAACATCTATTTCACAGTATTTCTTACAGATGTGTGATGATCTAGAAGTCCCCTTTTCCATTACTGGCTACAGTGTTAATTTGGAACGCTTCAAATAAGCTGCTTGTGTGAAACTAACATCAGAGTGCATCATCAAATGGAATCTTACGCATGGTGCAATGATTATGCACATGGTACCTATGTTATCTAACAGATGCAGTTTATTTTTCTTAAATTATCAAAATCACATACATCTAAACATGATATAAAGGCATCTCATTAGAATTTTATTTCAGAAGTAAAATGTCAGATGTGGCTGTGACTACTGTCAGGAGAACTACAGTGACACTACAGTATGAATGGTAGTGTCTCCAGTTCTACTGATAGCAGTATGTAGAAGCAGTTACAACACTGCACTTGTAATAGCTCAAGCATAAAGTGATTGAACTCTGATTTCTGCCTCCCAGAGGAGAGGATGCTTCATCTTGCAATTGAATGCCTTTCCCCTGCACCAATTAATAACAGAAATTTGCACTGGTAATTTAAAATGCATGCTAGCTCAACTGACAAGAGTATATTATGGCTAGTGGTGTTAGTGGAGTATCAGATATAACAGAGATATCAAATTTGTAGCAAGCTTTGTTGCTCCCAAATGGAAGAATGCAACTCATTATTTACCTCTCCCAAATACTGAGTTGTGCTAACATAAATTCTGAAAAGTTTTTACTCTTTCTGTAAGTATCAAAACTGATGTACTATTAAGCACTTTAGGCTGACTTTCTAAGACGCAGACTTCAAGGCATCTTTAACAATCTGAGGCCCATGCTTTCACATGTGTGATAGGAACAGCCAAGAAACAACAGACATAATTTTGATGTAGATTATTGATTTGAGTCTAAAAGTTTGATGCCATTGCCCTTCCCCCAGTGCTATCCTTTTTCAGATTAATGAGCTGTAGCACCCTCAGAAATAAATAACTTCAGTTTGCAGCTGTCTCAGCTGGGTAGGTCGTGATGCTAGAGCCCAAGCCTAAAATGTCTGTTGCTGGTCTAACATATACAGATGATCTGTTATGTAAAATGTGAGTAGTCCAGTTTCATGTATTGAGCTACTCAGTATGTGACTTGTCTGAGTCATGGAAGGAGTCTTGCATGGTTTACATTGGATGTGGACTACTGAAATTTGCCAGTGTTCAACATCTACATTTCTTCTTGCATATTGTTGAGCTACCTAAGCAATATGTGAGTATATTTCTATTTTTCAAGGTCAGTAAACACCATGTATTCAATTTAACCACCTATATAAGTTTATTAATTTCTGTTTGATCTTGAACATAAAGTTCAGTGGACATGTGCACCACACAATCAACACTGAAAAGCCGGGTTATCAGTGCATCTCTATCACCTTCTGGAGTATGGTGCAGTGCTAAAGCAGTTCATACCACTGTCAACTTCAGCTGCTGCAGTCCTACCCTCCTTTGTTGTGAGGGTGCAGATCTAGCCAAAACCTAATTGTTCTCCTTCGTGAAGTGATAGGCTTCCTGATCATGTCAGTGATTGGGTTAACCACTTTCAGTGCTAGTTGATGGGAGGAGTGGAAAAGCCGAGTAAGGCTGCAGCAACTTGGATTTCTTCCACTTCCTATTGAAAGCAGCAAGTCCTCTCTTTGCTCTTCTTTGGATTGATACATAGGAAATTATTAAATTGCTTCATATTCCGAAAATGTAACACACCTAAATTATAAAAATATCAATTAACCAGAAGATTCTTCGCACCAACAGTGGTTTTCATTTGCTCTTAAGATTTGCTGAATTTAATTCACAGACCCAAAGCAGTATGTCAGCAGTTCTCCTGAACTATTTTCAGGACAGACTGTGATGCTTCCCAAGCCTTCTTGGGGTGTTTTTGAAGGCTTTATTCAGTATTTCAAAGACTAATTTTTCCTTTTTTTTTTTTTTTTTAATCTGGTCTTGATATTTTACCTATAAACCTTACATCTATATAGTACAACTTGAGATGGTGGGTGTTTGGTGCTTCTGTAATTTTTCTTTTTTTAATCTTTTGAAACCAGAGAAATGTAAAAGCTTTTTCAAGCTTTCATACTTGTTTAGAAGTTCATTATATAATTTCTGCCAGAGGAAAACCAAAATTTGTGGCAATGGGAAGCATTTTTGTCCCATTTCTGTATTTCACAGATGCCCAGGATTTGGTGACTGAGTTAGAACTTCTCAGTCACTTGGTCCAGTATTTACCAGATGAGCTGTTCATAGCCTGTTTCACTTCCTGTCACTCAAGTTGCAAAGGTGGAAATTCTTTCCCCAGTGTCTCAGTGTTTGAGAAATTATTGCAAGCTGAGAAGCTTTATTTTTTTTGGGGGGGTGGGGGGTGGGGTGTGTTGTTTGGGTTTTTTTCTTGCTAAGCCATGAAGGACCCTCATTCCCTAAAGCTGTGACCTCAGAAAGATTAGACTTGGCTTAGCTGCTTCTGTCATGAGGCAATAAATGTGGGGGGAAGCTAAATAAACACAGTTCAGCATTTAGCTGCCCTGGGTTTAGCAGTAGCAGTCATTTTTCTCCTTCTTGGTAGCTGGTGCAGTGCTGTGTTTTGACTTTCGGCCTGGGAACAGAGCTGAGAACACCAATGTTTTGGTTTGGCCAAGGACTTTGTGAGCCTCATGCTCTGCCAGGGAGGAAGGGAAGCCGCGAGGAAGCAGAGACAGGACACCTGACCCAAACTGACCAAAGAGGTATTCCATAACACAGCACGTCATACCCAGGATCTAAGTGGGAGTCACCTGGAAGGGCCAGGGGACTGTGGGGTTGGAGGAGATATCGGTCGGTGCTTGGTCAGGCTGGGGGGGCGAGTTATCAGTTGGCTGGTGCTGAGGTGTTGTATTCTCTTCCCTTGTTATTTTCTTTATCATTACTATTATTGGTGGCAGCAGTAGTGATTTGTGTTATACCTTAGCTACTAAACTGTTCTTATCTCAACCTGTGGGAGTTGCATTCTTTTCAGTTTTCGTCTCTGTCCCTCCAGGAGTAGGGGGAGGGCAAGAAGGGGGGAAGTGAGTGAAAACACTGTCTGGCTAGGTTTAAACCACAACAAACTTACACCACAAAACTGCTGCTGCTTCTAACCAAGGCTCTAGCCTTAACCATCTGAACTCAAATGAGTGGGCACTTAAGTTTGCTGTTTCTTATTGCTTCTCCCCAGATTGTTTTGTAAACTTCACTAGGATGATTCTTTCCTTTACAGAATGGGTATTTTCTCTGAAGCCCTTTCTCAGCACCTGGTTTCACTGTTTTCGTAAAGTATTTCTTTTGCCCATTCT